TTGAGGTTTGTGCTAACAACTGAACCGCTACTCCTGCTGATGGAACCAGACTTGGGTCATCATGCTTCTGAACAAACTGCATTGCCTGGCCACTGCCCATTGACGACACAATAAGCCATTTTACCTGCTCCTGTTCAAAACACGAGTCAACATTGAAATAATCCAGACCGCTTTTTGTGAAATTGCAATTAATGTCCACCGTCAGCGTCGATTTTGCAAACTGCCTTGGGTCGACATCGTCATCTCTTGCGCGTCTCGTAATTTTCGATGCTACTTGAAGGAAGTTGCATTGTTTAAGGAAGTTCTGTTCTTCCCCACTGAGCTTCTTTGCTGTGGCTGGTAGCGTGACATCGTAAGAAAATGGCCTCTGTATCCCTGTTTTCGAAGCTGATTTGGTAACCTCAAACAACAATGAAGGCCGTAGATTTTGAGGTGAAAACTGTGACAAATGGTAGATGCCAACGCGGAGTATATTCTGTGTAAAAATAAGCAAATTTTTTGCTCCTTGAAGAAACATTTGCAACAGTTTCTGCATTTCGTTGTCGTCGTAAAACAACTGCTTAATCTCACTTCGTATCGCTTGCTCTCTTGTTCTCAGTGGAAACCGAAAAAGTGTTCCATCAAATGAGTTGACTTCCCCGTTCAGATGAAACTCGCAGCCAAATATGCCATTGAATGGTTTGAACTGATCCCTATACTCCCGAAGTCCGTCGGCATCTTTCTTGAGATCAATCTTAATGCCTGGCCGAGCGAAGTTCTTTTCGATGAATTCCCCGAGGTGCGACATGTGAGGGTCAAAAACCACAAAATAGTTCCTGCTTAAAAACATAGGTACATCTGTCAAATTGTAGACTGCATTGAAACCAAGTCCGAACTTTCCAATCTTTTCAGTGTCGTGCTCTTTTGTCGCGCCGCTCAATTTTTCTATGTTCACAAAATCCTCATCTCTGAATGCAGCGTTGTTGTAAACCCACAGTGCACGGCCCTGGCAGTCTCTCATTCCTTCGTCAAATAGATAGTTCATGGCATCTTCGTTCGTTCTTTCATCATATAGAAATCTGATTTCAGTGGCACCAGCATCATCTGCATTTTGAACAAGCTCTTTCAGAACTGAAAATCCATCTGTGTAGTCATCCAGAAGCCGCTTAAGTCGAGTCGTGAGAGGCTCATGCTGCCCAAACTCTTCTCCTATAGAACGCCTAGACAGCCTTCTTCTAGTGAAGGCCGTTGAGGTTGCGGCTTTAGTCGATTTTTTCATCATCGCCTTCTTTCTTCAAGCCAAGTTCACAATACGATCACCTGGCTACAACAAAAACGTACTTGTAATTGCCCTTTGAATATATAGTCATATTTTTCTATATCAAAATACCTGTATGATTATTATATTATTTTTATGATAGAGGGCCTCTCTCGATAGTTGAGAACTGACCAAAATTTCAACTGTCAGCTGATTTTTTAACTGATAACTGAGATCTGTAAGGTCTACTGGTGGCTGAGAAATAAGCTGACATAGCTGATAGCTCAGAAATTATCGAAAGTATATCTCCGTAACTGAAGTTTCAGCATTGCCATCAAGAACATAAAATGCCCTGAACATGAAACACCCCAAAACTTGCCCAAACCCAAGAGAACGTTTGTTTAAAGCGGGGTCTACTTGTTTTAATTCTAGAGGGGAGATGCATTTTTCATGGCATCTCACTTGGTTAGTTTTTATTGGTCTTCTTAATACTGCTTTCAACAATATTACATCCCGTTAATAAACCTGATGTACAAGTCTTCCTCTTCAAGAGGGATGTTAAAATTGCAAGCGGTGGAAAATAGCTCAGAATCTAATTTCCCTACAAGATTTTCATACACCATATCCCAACAACTTAGCCTGAGTATCCGGCTTTTCCAAAGTACTGGGACGGGGGAGGAATAAAAAGGAAAAGAAAAAGGAAGAAAAGCGTGACGCAAGGACATTTTAAATCTGAGGGCTTCCGACCCATCACAGCATGACACGCGTCTTCGCAGAAAGTAAACGATCAAAATCATATCAGGTCTTGGGCATAATTCGAAGATGTTCTGTGAAACTACAAAAATAAAATCTTTGCCAAGTACTTGGCCGCGGGTTTGACCTTTGGCGCACATCGCTTTTCTTCCTTCTCCTCCCCCCTCACCTCTCCCGTTACGAAGGCCTGATACTCAGGCTACCGAAAACTGAAAAATACGTGCATGGCTCATGATCACGCCAAGAGTTTCTTTCTGTCAAGGGATACTATATTTCAGTTATTTACGCTGTAAAAGGACTGATACGTACTCGTGTTCAGCAATACGTCAAATCGTGTTAAACTCTACCCCAGAATTGAACCGACCTAAAATACAAAAATTACAATTATAATCTTTTGAAAATTACAACGATAATTTATTAAAATAACAACGATAATTCATTAAAATTACAACTATAATTTATCAAAATATTAAAATCATAACGATAACAATGGCGCACTATTTTTGATAAGTGCTTGGTGTGTTAGGCTTTGTTACGACAACGAAGTTTAAATAATATATAAAAATTCATTTGAATTAGCATATCAGACAACGCTGTGTATTTTGTAGCATTTTCAAACATCAAGAGAAAAGTCGAAAATGCGATTCGAATAGATCATTTTTAATGTCAGACATTCAGCTGTGTTTGGCTATATCTCCTCAATCCAAAATTACTCTAAAAAGCATATGGAGAAATAAAAATTCTACTCGTCTGGGTGGCATTCATATAAATGGGTTGTCAACAAGTATAAGAGGGTTTTTGGATGGAAAACCCGAAACCATAGATAATCTCTTTTGGCTCTTCTTGCCTACAGGGTTCTCTCAAATGACCGACCGAGTTCAGCATGAACATTTGAAAAGCCTTTCAAAAATTAATTGCACATTCCATTACGTTACACAATTTTTGCGCATCCGAAGTGATGTTCAAATTATCATTATTTTGCATAGTTGTCCTTATTGTTGTCATTCAGGATTAGTGAACTGTGTTACAGCAAAACTACTAAAACCTTAAACGGAAACAGTGTAACTTAAGAACATTTAAGGCTCGATATTGGCAAACATTTAAAACGTTCAGCTTCAGTCCGAAAATTTGACGTTCTTACAACATCCCATGCGTTATACAGAATGTAGATCCGGCATTTTGGAAAGGCGTCTGCATAACCTAAGCATAGGCAGAAAACTCCCGAAAATGCCATTTCAGAAAGGCTTCCGTATATCAACGGTTAGGTATAGCTACTGGCTCTCGTTAAACTACTGTTTCCAAGGTTATAAACTAATGCTGTAATCTCCCTGCATCCCTTCACTCTCAGTCTTTACTTATCTTGCATGTTTTTCAAGTTATCTTTTGAGGTAGTTAATTTCTTCACAAATGAGTGTCCATGTGATAGTCTCGGCAATTTTGCCTGTAATCACTTATTTTTCCAGACATTTTCAAAAGCACAAACTATTTGACCAGCATTCATTACCATACATGAGGTAAAACGTTAAAGGAAAATCTATTACAGTGAAAACAAAGGCAGTATCTTAGGAACTGAGTTCGAATTTAAAGGTAGGTGTACATGGAATGTTACGGAAGAACGATTCCAAAGTTAGTATACAGCTCGCATATATATACCTACCCATGAGCATGCCAGATTCGCCAAAAATAGCTCCCTGTTCCTCCTTCACCTGGTTATAATCTAAATGAGGCAACAATTAATCGAAAGGGATTACCATTGATTACAAAAGAAATGTAGAAAAGTTGTATCAGGAAAAATCAGCACACTTTGGAACCCGGAGTGAATATCCAAACTTTGTCAAGCTACGCAAATATTCCGCGACAAATTCAAGATGTTTCTAGGACACTTGCTGTAGACAATACTAATTTAAATTTCTACGGATCGTGTACACGCATCATAGGTAACTCAAGCATACTACGTACATATATTCAGTTGCATATTAATGACATTTTGAAAATGCAAGACTTCTGGTAATTTAGAACTGGCACTTTCTGCGGATAAATAAACGTTGTGTTTCTAGGTATTCTGGGCGATTTTTGGTTAATATATCCTATAATGTTGTATATTTCCAAAAGACAGAAGAATTATTCGTTTTAGAACAACAATATGGTTACCGTGAAGGCTCATCTCAGAAATTTTAATTCACCACTGTTTTGAACAAGCCATTGTCGTGAGTTCGTTAATGAATCAACCGAGTTTTCTCATATCAGCTAGTCATCGCATGAAGTATTTTCATTCATTGCATAGCACCGTGCTTGCATTTGTACACATATGGTGTTAAAATATTGAAGCGAATCCTGACACTGAACAAATATGTCTTCCACAACGGTCTTGGCAAGGCCGACCGAGAATTAAAGAACTTTCCCAAACAAGAGTGTGTACAAAAGCATACAAAGCACTGTGTAATCACAATAAAATTTCGTTTTACCTTGAAAGTCGAGAATGTAGCCGCGAAATTTAGGTGCTTTCCTCCTAGTACGGGGAAAACGTTCAATTAAGCTTCCCGTTCACTCCGGAAGTTCTTCTTATCTTGTTCCGCGTTCAAATCCTACTAACTATAGATATAAAAACTTAGAGTTCTGACTCCTTGTAACACCTACACGTAGTTATAAATAAACAGACTCTTTCAAAGTATCATTGAAGATTCTAGGAAATTCTGTTGTAGTTTCCTGTTATGTCCTTCCGACAAAACAAGTTCATTTGCATGACAATTGTATGTTGAGGTAGCTTGAGTAAATTAATTGAAGTTTCTATGGCCAAGCAAGCGTAATGTTTTGACGTTGCGATAATAAAGATATCTAATGCCTCAATGTTCTGACAGGATTAGAATTTGTAAGAATTATTTATTCATTTTAATGTTAAGCAATCTCTCACCGTCAAAATCCACCTGGCTTGCGTTTCGAAAAGTATAACAAGATTCTTGCAGTTCGATAAAAGACGTCTACAAATCTCTTTTATGCTGCCGCCAACATCCACAAGGATTTTTAAAGAATTATATACCTCAAAATAGTCGCACTCATAGCAAATGACCCGAATAAAAAAACCCTTGTATATGTTGCATTACTCAGCGCTCTGCTACAAGGTATCTGAGGTACTACCGTTAACAATTACCTACAGAAATTTCACTGCACTTGTTAACAATCTTTCCCTTACGGTGTCACTAAATAAAATATTTCCGCGGAATAACATGCTTCTTGATGCTTTCAACATAATAAGAATGAACTTTCAAAAGCTGATCAGACTTGTTTCAAAACTGAAATCTTTTTTGTTTTATCTGAGGTGCTTCCTAACGCCTTCAACTAATATTTATACACTATAATGAAGAACAAGACATAAGCTTTTCTTGTAAATCAACAAAAAAAGATGGAGTTTGTGGTCATTTGCAGTAGCATTTAGATGGCAAATCGCAGAAAGTATAAAAACATTTCAGCAACTTTTCTTTTTTATCATTCAGCTGATTGCCGTGACTCGATCTGCGGCATTGGAGTCGATCGACCAGTTGAAAGTTTGACGCAAACATGTATCAGTGGCAGCTTTAAGTTGTTTTTGTTTTGCCAAGAATGATTTTTGTTGCAACTATTCCCAAATACATCAACAGTTCAAACCTGACAATTTCTAAACATTAAAATGGGCCATTTGTATATAAACTGGAATTCATTCATGGTACTTCGGTACTTCTTCAAAGAGAAATGATGCTTGCTATACTTAAAACACGACAGCTCCGTATAATGATTTTCATTTGGCCGGAGAGTTTCAATATGTTTTCAAAACAAGAGAAGTACAAGGCTTCTGGTAAATAATGGTATTTCTTTCTAAATATTCTAGGGAGGCCTGTCTGAGACCTACCTCGGCAAAACAACGATATTTCTGAATTTCTCTTTCGTACGATAGCTCTTTGTGGCTCCTTCTTCGACGAGAAAATAAAACTTCTGAGAATTCGAATACAAACTAAGCGAAGCCGGGTCGGCGCAATGCTTTAGGTGCGTTTCAAAAAACGATTTCGCGCCGAAGCAAAGTATGTTTTGTCTCAGTGTATACGTTATGCGTGTTATTAGGGTTGGTACGACGTAAACAAAGCTTGTGGGTAAACAAAGCCTAAAGCTAAGGGTCAGTTTATGAAGCATTCTTTTCTTTTCTGTTTTGCAAGTCATTCGACAGCAGGCTTCTCTTTTTCATCTTAATATAATTGTACGGCTGGAACAGTCGCAGTGTCGAAGGCACAGCGTACATGGTATGACATGTTTGATCGCAAGTGAGCGAGATGATTGAACACAAGGATATGTATGTAAGGCCCAGTTCAGACGTCGTGCTTCTGCCGTGCCGAACTAAATTGCAATTTGGTTCGACTGTAGC